TAACCTGAACCATACCTCTAAACCTAACTAGTAAAGCACAGCAGAGCTGCAAACAAAGTGGGGACATTGAAAAGGTCCTCACTTTACATCAAAGACCTCAGTTTGGTAGTGACTATGGTGCAAATGGTCCTCACTCTGTAACACACACACACACACACACACACACACACACACACACACACACACACGTGAAAAAACAGGTGAACTTACTATTTGCTTCCACTCGGGGGGTACAGGGGGCTGCTGTGTTTATTGCTCGGCATCCTGACACGCCGCTGATTAAAAGCTAACGATCTGTGAGGAGAAGAAAAGAAAACGTCAACCAGAACATTTCTGAATCAGTTTCTGAGAACAGCTTCTATCCAGAAACAGTCAGATTGTTAATCTGCTGCTCACACCAATACTGACTCAGCACTTTAGTCTCCTAATCTGTAATCTGCTGCACTTTGCTGCTTTTAGCTTTTATTCAGTCACAACACTTGGTAGTAAATCCATTTATTTAATGAATTCCTCTTTAAATTGAGTCAAACATCTTTTTATGTTGCATCACCTTATTTCTTATCTGAGGTGGTTTTTCCTTCTTATGTAACAGATTAAAAGATAAATAAACCTGAGGGACAGTTTCTGCTGGCTTCAACGCTCGACAAGAGAAGATGTGGACATTAAACGTGTGTTTATGGTAAAACAAACTAAAAGTGAGGTCATTAAAAACTTTGTTGTCCTCTGAGACATATTCAGCTGGTTTTGAAGCTTTGTCCAAATTATGCAGCAAAAGTCAAAACATTATTCCTGACGGAGCTGTGCTTTTTCACAGCAAGACAAACTGTTACAGAAAATAAAATAATGATGATGATGAAGTTTTTCAGCCSTCATCAGGCTGTCAGGTCTGATCCTCCTGATCAGGAGACTTTCACCACATCTCAGCATCGTCCCCGTCTCACTGAAATCTGAATTTCACTTAAATCACTTCAGTGACAGCGGTTAGAAAGGACCACACCCAGGGAGCAGGCGCTACCCGCTAACCGTCACCCAGGCCGTGCTGCAGCTACGTGCTGAGAGGAAGAGTCTGGACAGGGAGATGAGAGAAAATAAAGTTTGAACCGGTCTTAATCTGTTTCAGGTTAGGYTGAGATGATGATTAATCTAAATCTTGTTTACTGAACCCATCAGTAAAACATGGTGGTCCTCCAGGACCTGGACCAGGTCCCAGTGGACTACATTATGTGTCATGATGGAGACATCATGGTGGGTGACAGGCACTCTCAGCAGTCACCAGACTTCAGCCACAAAGCAGTGGATACAGTGTAAACAGGTGAGGGTGTGACTCCTGATCCCAGCAGGCAGGTTTCATGTCAGCAGTGATGGGAAGCAGCTGCCGAGGGCTTAAACATTGACCTTCATCATCATCATCATCATCATAGAACAGGAAACAGAAGCTGTTCAAGCTGAAACCAGGTTCTCCTCTTCCTCAGCTCGGATTAATCCCACTCCAGCTGATGGGACCTCATTTACCCACAGAAGGAAACCAGCATGAACAGAAAGTCCTTCAGCATGAAGGTTTAAATATTTGACTCCTCCCGGRTTACCAGTCGACGGATAAACAAGACAAACGACATAAACAAGAAGAAACAACAGAATAAACTCTAAACCTTTGATTTAAACCTCCTGAAACTGAGCWACAAACAGAGACAGACGCACTGACCTGAGGATGCAGCCGCGGCCAGAGAACAAAGCTGCGACACAAACAAGCGCGCGAACATACAGGTGTGTGCGCGTCACGTGATCATCCCCAGAGCACACCTGACCAACCTGTCTTCATTCCAAGCACGAGCAGGAGTTTCCACAGCCCGCAGTCCCAGGAAATCATCTGCTTCCTGACGGTAACCTGAAACCAGCTCAGTTTCACTTCAACCTGTTTTCACCTGTTACAGGTGGAAAACTCAACTAGTTCATTTAAAATAAACTATTTCATTTTAACTAAATTAGATTATTAGATTAAAATGTTTAAATC